CGAGTCTCCTGCCTCAGCCTCCCAAGTAGCTGGGACCACAGGTGCCCGCCACAACGCCCAGCTATTTTTTGGTTGCAGCCATCGTTGTTTAGCGGGCCTGGGCTGGATTCGAACCCGCCACCTTGGGTGTACACGGCTGGCGCCTTAGCCACTTGAGCCACAGGCGCCGAGCCTGATCTACACAGCTTTATTGCTACTGTTGTGTCCCTCTGGTTTTTGATTTTTTCATTATGAGTCAGCTAACTGTGTTAATGGTGACAAGATGCATGATTTATAATTTATAGCCACCAGCCACTGGGATAGGCATGCTCAGTAGAAGTTCAGTTTCATCCTCTGTCTAGTGGCCTTGCTCCTGGACCCTGGTGATACCCTGTTTTAACGACATCTGGGCCTCTTTCTTTTCAAATAATGCAGAATAGATAAAACACCACAGTCACTCTAACTACCCATCTGCTTCCTAACAGAGAATCAGTAGCGTAAGTGAAGAATGGAATCTGTAATTTTTTTTTTTTAAATTTTGGGGAGGCTTTTCCTTGAAAATGTTTCTAAAGCATGATCGAAAATAAACCCACTGTGCTGAGGTCATATTTTTTTCTTCTGTTGTCAAGAAGAGCGTCTCGCGTGCGGTCTGGGAACTGTAGCACGTGATAGAGAGCAGGCACGGTCCAGGATCGGTTTCATAACCGCATATTGTTCCTGAGCGCTGTGGCCTCAGGGCGTATCGGTTGCTGTTATCAGTTTGAAAACTGTCACCTGTTTCTAAGGATGAGTTGAAAATGGAAGATGATTGAAAACTGCCTTGCCTAACATATTTGTTTCTTTGCAATGCCTGGAACCAACGAGGTGGGGACTGTCCGACAAGCAATTCACCTCCTCACCTCAGTTTCCTCTGTTTTGAAAATGGATGGTTGGTTTGGTTACATTAATAAGACCATCAGAAATAATTTGAGACAAATAAATATAGGACCCCCCCAAAATAAGGGGATTGCAGTGAGGTAGAAAAAAAGCTAAGGGTTCAGGATCAGAAAGCCCAGTTCAAATCCTTGCTTTGCCACTTACCAGCTGGGTGACTTTGGAGAAGACTCATCTCTCTATGGCATCATCTGCAAAGCTGAAATGATGGCACCCACCTCACAGTGTTGTCAAGATTGAATGATATAATAGAAGTTACATCAAAAGATAGGGGACAATTGCTCAATAAATGCTAACTCTTATCATCACCTCAAGGAATTGCATAGAACTATGCAACTGGCAAGTAACTGAGCGAAAAAAACAAAGCATTTTAACTCGGAAGCAAAGGTGATTCCCTTCCACCCCAATATCCACAGTCAGATCTTTCCAGTGCTGCAGCCAGAAATAGGCTCTTAGTTCAAGATCACTGCCACAAAGCCTTAGGTAGCTATGGTAGATAGGCTGACTGAGCAATTAGTTTTTAATTCCAGTCACTCTAGAAGCTGAAATATTTTTCCTTTGTTAAATTTGAACATGTAATTCGACATGTTTCAAACCCTTGCTCATAATTTTCACATTTCATATTTTAATGTGCATATTTCAGGAAATATAAATAATGTCTCTTTTTAAGAGCTCCTCTTGGCTACACTCCCTTTTCTCATGTACAATTTCCTCCACAAAGTGCAATAAGTCGGACTAGAAATGAGAATGTCTCTCTCTGTTAACCTTTCTCTAGTTCTCTAGTCAAGAAGTCTATGGTCCCCTGTATGAGCGAGGGGGCCTGGAGGACCTTGGTGTTGTTCCCATTGTTTTCTTTCTGGGCTAGGATTACACTGATGTCCAGTTTTTAGAATGGGTATGGCTAAAAACTAAGTGAGGCCACAAAAGGAACCAGTGGGCTTTAAATATTGATGTTGTCGAAGGGGAGGAAGGGGAAAGGGCAGGGAATTCACAGAATAAACATAGTATTTGAGGCACTTTGCATGATTTATAATTTTGAATCCTCAAAATAACCCTGGGATGGATCCTCTTTTTAATTAGGTGGAAAGGCACAGAGAAGTAAGCTAAGTAAGTCACTCACACTCACACAGCTGAAAAGAAGTGGCTGTGATAACCCAGTTGTAAGTAACCCTTCAGTGTGTGTAACCCACACTGAAGCCAAACTCCAGTGTGTCTGAATCTTTGAACTATGTTACCCCGGTTAACTACCTTACATAGGTTAACTATGTTCACCCTATAGAGCTCTAATTCCCATTACTGCATCACTACAGGGTTGGGAGTGTTTACTGATTGTTAATCCGTTAGGACTGTAAAGGAATTAAAGGGATAAAGACTCATATTGTTTGTGTTTCCTAAGTAATCTATTATATAAAAAACTGTGGTGGGGTGCCTTGGTAGAAGAGTGCCCTGCAGTGAATAAATGTGTGGTCTTATTATTCCTTTTTAATGGTCAGGGCTGGTTGCCAGATTCTTCAAAATAGTACTGATTTTGTCTCAAGAAAAATCACCTGCGTGGCATATCCCTTGTTTAAGTGTGGGGACAGTATGACTCACTGTCTTGGTGTTTGGAGAGCCTTATACCCCTCATTTTAGTGATCCTTTGTGAGATAGAGATGGGTGCAAAGTGGTGGACTCTGGGACCAATTCTCCCCCTGCTCTTCCAAGGACTACTCTTGAGATCTGACTGCAGTATGTGGGGCTTCAGAGAGCTGGTAGCATTTGGAGTGCAGGCAGTCATATATACACTGGTAAACTAATTTTTCAAAACAAATCAAAACAAAAGCTTGTATTCTTTTCCTGCCATGGCTAACCTGAAGCTACTGTAACAAGACACAAATCAGTGGGGAGAGACGGGTCTATGTTGAATCTCATCTAGACCTGGCAGGCTTCAGCACACCCCTCCGTGGGGTTTGGCAAGGTATGAAGGACTCTGGGCTGAACGTGCATTAGGAACTGAGCTGCACTGCTCCAGCTTCCCTGCTAGACCCCGGATTTGATTTTCAAAATCTAGCTTAACTAGTGTCCCCAGCACTCATGTCTGCTGTAGAGACGTGCTTGTGGGTAGCTGCATGTCTGAGTCCCAGGAGCAACACCACCTCTGCCTGATCTGAAGTACTTCCACCCCGGTGGGAAGACTGACTCTGAATGTGTCCCAGTCCCTCCTCCTGGGTGGGGCTCAGTGCTGGAGGTGAAAGCACTTTCTGGGACAGCCACTGTCCTCTTTGATTGGAAGTCCCCTTTGCTGTAATTAATACTATAATGGGCCACCAATTCTGAAAACCCAGGGCCACTAAGACTGATCATTGGGTTGGGCACTTAGTCTAGGCTGAGTCTCTAGTTACTGTTGTCCAGCTAGTTACTGTTCAGGAGGGAGCTGGAGCAATGAGATGGAGGAGGCAGCACCGACTCCTACCCTTAGACATGCTCAGAGATTTCTGGGTGCATTACTGAGAATGGTGCTGTGAGCTGGGAAAGGAAAAGACGGACCTCTGATCCTGGTGAGAGGTGCTGAAAAGACCCTGTCGCTACCATAGGAAGTTGCCAGTCTGCCAGAGACATCTAACAACCCAATCAAACCCCTCACAACCAAATGAAAGGGGTTCACGCTGCCCCCCTGAAACCTGTAAATGTCCTCCCATAGACAAAATGATGAGACATAAAGGCAAAGATGTATATTTTCTTATTTTTGAACTTAAACATTTTTTCTAGGTGTTTCTGAATCAAAACAAAGAAAACATATTTATCAGAGCAGTTTCCTTTTCTTTCACCACCGTGCTCCTCCGTCTTGCCCTTGCCTGCTTCCGTCTGTTGCCTCTCGTCCCTGGGAGAAGAAGAATTCGAAACACTGAACGGGCAACGAAACCTGGGCTAGAAAATGCGGCTTCCCAAAGAGAAGTGCGTCATCAGGCAGAGAGTTGCTGGATGTCTTGAGCAAATCTTGAAGTTAAGAAGAAAGCAAAGTTGTTGGGTGGCACGCTGAAGAAAAAGGCTTACTCGCTTACTACCAGCTTCTTGTGGATCTCCATTTTGCGGACCACTGCGCTGAATTCCTCAAAGGATATCTTCCCGTCGCCGTCCCTGTCCAGGGTGATGATGGTTTTGTCGACCAGCTGTTGTAACTCCCAGTCCTTCACGTTGTTTCCCACCATCATCTTCAGCACCTGGAACAGCTCCCCGTTGGAAATGTAGCCGTCTTTATCCATGTCGTAGATGCTGAAAGCGAACCGCAGCTTCTGCTCCTCGTTTCCTGTGAGGCTGAACTGCGAGGTCCCCAGGATGAATTCGTGGAAGTCCACTTCTCCGTTGCCGTCAATGTCAAAGACGTCGATCACTCGCCGCACCAGCGGGTTCTGCTGCAGCTCGGGCATGGACATGAACTCCTCCACGCTCAGAGAGCCCGATTTGTCCACGTCCAGCTTCCTAAAGCTCTTGCTCAGCCTTTTAATTTCATCGCTGTCAAAGTGGGGGAATATCTCCTTCGGGTAACTGGCCTCGTTTCCCATCGCGGCCACCTGGGCAACCGGGCGGCGGCGGAGGGGCTCGCGCTCAGACGGTTGCGCCCTGGTGGGTGGGGGGCTCGCGAGACACCCCCCGGGTGAGAAAGTGGGGAGAGGAGCGCAGGGGGTGCTGGGTGAGGGTACGGGAGAGAGAATGGGAGGGGGGATAAGAGCGGAGGGCCCGGGGCGGGGAGGGGGGAGCAGAGCGCAGGCCAAGCCCGGGAGAGGCAGAGGAGGAGTGCCAGGCTACCTAACCTCCTCTTTTCTCAAACCTTTTCTCTTTCTCAAAACCCTTGTAGCTTTTCATAATCACTCCTGTTCCCTTCGAAATTATTTTATCTTCTCATTTCCTGACTGTTTTTTTTTCCTCCTAGGGA